AGTACTACGATGAGCAAAATTCCTTCACCAAAACTGTCATGTCATCCAAATATTTGCAAAATTTAGCGAATTTGTCAAAACTGCATTCAACAAATAAGGAAGGCACATACACAAGACACCGGGAAATAAAACAACAATTTGTTCAAGAATCAAACCAGAGCCAAGAGATAACAAAACCATAAATTAACCGGAAGCCATGCCTGGCAACAGCCAAAGCACTAAATCAATTTGAAATCATAAAAAATAGCATCTTAAATGTGTTGTACACTTGCAGGAACTTTCCGGCAAGGACCAAGAAAAGGTGACTGAGGTGAGTCGAGTCAGGTTGGAGCTACAGGAGCAGATTGGACACTTGGAGGCCGAGAGGATCGCACAAGGAGGAATGAAAGAGAAGATCAATGCCCTTGAGCGAGAGATTAAAGGTGCCTCTTGTGGTCTTCTTTCTAACTTCAAGCATACGGTGAAGTTTCGTGACAATCCACACAATTGATTATATTTGAAAAATTAACTAGTTTCTATTGGCCGAAACTTGGAAGAGTCTTTGCTTCTTGGATTACTTTCTTTTTCATGATTGTATATGGTAGCCTTTTTCATTCACTGTAACATAAATCTTCAACAATTGCAATAATAATACGTGATCATATTTAATCTCTGACATCCCAAAAAGCACAAGAACGTTCAAGATCAAGCAAATGCAGTCATTTGATTAAAATGTAAATTCTGAATAGTCAGGAGCCGTGTTTTTGTTCAATGCTTTGTATATCCGGATTTGCCTGTCACAATGCCACTTCCAGGGCTTGTAACGTATTTATAGCTGGCGCAACGTTTGTTTTGTTTTGTTTTTACAGCCCAAGATGTGCTAACTTTAGGCGATAATAATACATGTAATAGCATGCCTTTTAATTGTTAGCTACCTGACAACTTCACTACAGTTTTTCAAGGGTGAAGAGGCATTGATTTGTTACAGAAAGGGTTAACAAATGTTGACAGTTTTGGAAAATAAAATATATGTATCAATGGTATCACTGTAAGTCAGTACTTAATTAATATATAGACCACAAAATATATACTTGCGACACTCTAGGAAAAACCGGAAGTAGGGACTCACTGTTTATCTTTTGTACTATTTTAAAATGAAAACACGTTGCTTTTCTGAAAGTCACATGAGAAGACGACATGTGATGTATTAAAAATAAATCGTTTTTCAGGATGTGATTATATTTTACACCATTGGAACTTTTTCAGTTTGCTTCCATAAGACGACAAGAACCGGAGAACTATTTTAGAAAGATGAACATGTTTATGGGACGTTTTCAAAAGTGAGGTATAAAATCCTTCAACACTGTTTCTAGACTGTATTCTGTTTTAACAACTTTTACACCACTTCAGTTTGGAGTGCTACAGTTGAAGCCTTTTTATTATGTCTGTCAAATCAAAATGCAGTTCTCATGCCGGCAAGGATGCTTGTACTGGTGTAATGGTTTGATACTATTTTGATTTAAGGTATTATTTCATAGATTCTAAATCAATAAAATGTAATTTCATAAACGAATCATGTTTGTATTATTTAATGGATAGCCTGGCCTGTTCTGCTGTCTCCAGCTTTGGGTTAGCATTCAGTGTGTTCACTCGTCTGTGGCATGGGGCTGAAGATGCATGAGGTCACTTGTTTCTATTACCAAAGATTTTTGCTGTCAAGATAAGTCACAAGCCGTCTTTTTGTTCAATGGTTTGTATATCCGGATTTGCCTGTCAAAATGCCACTTCCAGGGCTTGTAACGTATTTATAGCTGGCGCAACGTTTGTTTTGTTTTGTTTTTACAGCCCAAGATGTGCTAACTTTAGGCGATAATAATACATGTAATAGCATGCCTTTTAATTGTTAGCTACCTGACAACTTCACTACAGTTTTTCAAGGGTGAAGAGGCATTGATTTGTTACAGAAAGGGTTAACAAATGTTGACAGTCTTAGAAAATAAAATATATGTATCAATTGTATCACTGTAAGTAAGTACTTAATTAATATATAGACCAAAAAATATATACTTGCGACACGCTAGGAAAAACCGGAAGTAGGTGGAGGTAATTTTCTTGTGCGCTGCAACGGTAACGGCCTTTCCCCTTCGAAACA